TTTTGCAATAAGAAAAAAATCCTTTGGCACAAAATTCTATCTCCCAAAGTACTACCTTTGTGCAAAATTTAAAAAATTTCTGAGAGATGACTGATCCGCTTCACGTGGAATAGCCCATATATATAATGTGATACTTTTAATTATTCTACATATAAAAGTATTCAGGTAATTTTATAAAAAAAAAAAAAATCATTTACGAGATATTTTGTACTTTATTTTGGCATATTTAGCAATCATATCTTAATACTTTTATACATAGAATAAGGAAAAACAATCGGTGTAAAGGAAACATATAGTTGCTTTTCAAAAAAAGAATGTAATTTGCATTTTGTACAAATGCTCAAGTTAAAGGAAATCCAATATAAATTTGTTACAAAGAAATTACAGCTTCTTTAATCTGAAATAAATAATAAAAACATTAATTGCAGCTTTTTTCCACAAATGGAATTATTTTGTGCGAACCATCTGAAACATCTAAAATCTTGGACGAGTTATTTTCAAAAGAGAGTATTTTAATTAAAAAAAAAGAGTATTTTAATTTAAACAATTATATAAAGCACAATCTCACAATACAATAACAATATTTCAAAACTTTATTTGCAGATCATATTTTCTTTTTCATATTTGCTGTAGTTCTTCATAACATAAATTTAATCAAACAGGTACAAGAGGCACGCGCGTAAATATACGCATAATGCAAATCAGACTGGTATCTCCATAACTTTGATGATACTAATGCCGACCATGTCAAATATTCAGATCAATAACTAAAAAGTATTTAATTGATAATCTTAGAACAAGTTTTGAAAAGGTCTCGAGTGTCGGTAAAAATCGACGATAAAAAAATAGGAATTTTTATTTAAAAAATTCAACTTGACCTTCATATAATACTGAGAATTCCATCCGAAGTTAAACTGTTATCACTATTAGATTAATTTTTTAATTTAACTACAACCCTACAATTCCTTGTATCTTAAATATTTCTTATATAATTTTCAAAATATTTTAACATTTCCAGACTTAAAAAAAAAGCTGTAAGGTTGGGGTGATTTTTTAAATAAATGCTATATAATGCTAAGTTTACATAAACAACCAAATATTAAAAACATTCTATTTACTATAAGAATAAAAAAAATTATAAACATGGATTCAAAAACATATTCTTTCTGAATTATAAATATTTTATATCCATAAGAGCATTATAGCAAAAATACTTTAAAGAAATACGTTAAAGAAATTGCTGATTTTCTTCTGTAGCAATGCTCGATATCTTATGATGTTTGTTGAAAACATTCAAACATTTCTAAAATATTCTGAATTTTGTCACAAAGCGACAATCTGATTTTGAAACATTTCCACAGTAACAACCAAAGAAGTATTATAGGCGCGAGTATTATAAACAAGAATTTTGAGATGATATACAATTAAAAATTCAGATTTAAATCAAGGTAACATGCAAGTCAAATGCATGTAATTGATTTTTCTCTGCCACTGTTAAATTAATTTTACTGTAAATAAAAAATAGTTTCTGGTCTATGTTCATACTTTTTTATTTTTACCAATTAGAATATATCATTAATGTTTGAACTCTGTATATAAAATGATAAAACTGGGAATTCCAAGTTGTTTTTAACAAGTAACTGCTCTAACAAGCTATCTAGCACCTTGAAATAAAAGATTAACTGAATTTTGTTTTTAATATTACCATGTAAGAAAAATAGTAATATATCTGCAAACATAATTGTCAAATTACACACAAATATAGTAATTGACAAAAATAACCTCAATGACTCCTTGCTTCTTCAACATCTCATAAGCTTCCTTAATTTTTGATTCGCGAGGATATTCTTTGATCCACGCATAAAGAAGTTGCAGAACTTTTTGTCGTACATTAGCTGTAGTGCGATTACCTAAATATTTCGGCGAGACCAATTTTATCATCTCATTAAGAAAACGGAATTTACCAACTTCTGCATGAAATAATGGGCCACATCTCTTCATACAAGTATCTAATAACTGAAAAAATAAAAATCTACATGTACAAGTGTTATGTGTTGTGTGTAAAATTTTGTAAATTGAGTTGTCAAAATCTTGTTAAAATCAAAAAGTATTAGCCTGTATATTATTCTCTATGTTATTCTTTATATTATTTTCTATTACTTCATTAAGCTTTATATATTGCCTTAAAATTTTATTCATATTAATTTTAGAAATAACATAGAATTTCTAATAAATATTTCATTAATAATATTGTTATTAAACTTATTTAAACTTATTATTATTATTATTATTATTATTATTATTATTATTACTAATAAACTTATTATTAAATTTAAATATTTAAGCCTATTTATCAACTATAGAAGTTACATTAATAATTTAATTTAAATGTATGTTTCTTTTTAATTCCAATAAAATATTAAAGTGTTGTAAAATATGTAAAGACAACGTACTGAAAGTGCTTGCAATGCTTCTGATTCACTGAGTGACTGAATTTGCGTTGCCAATAATTTGATGCCTATTTGTATACCCTCTGTTTCTTTAGTAAGCATCACGCAGAATGCTTCGATGGCCGCTATGTCTGGCTTCTGATTTTGTGGATTTGTAACTCTTTCTACAAAATTTGTGTATGTGTGTGTGTGTATGCGTGTGTTCACACACACACACACACACACACACACACACACACACACACAT